CTGGTTCCTTCTGCTCCCGGGGGTCTCTGGTTCCTTCTGCTCCTGGGGGTCTCTGGTTCCTTCTGCCCCCTCAGGATGTCATGTTGCCTTCAATCTGCAGGTCATCCACCCTTAATAACTATCACCAACTAACTGAACATAATCAAATCAATTAATGGCATATTAAACAAACAGGATTTCCTTCAATTCTGTTTCAATTTGCTTTTTTTTCTTCTGCAGGAACTTAACTGGCACATTTCCTAACTACCCTGATGTAGAAGAAGGTGGCTCGGCTATTATTTTTTCTAACAAGACCCCAGAACAGGTACAAATATGTTTGAGAAATAAAGTGTAAATATATCACTATCGTATTTCTTTAAATGTTAATGTTAATGGGTTCATAATGTTGTTTGGTTATTTTCCCACAGATATTTACATGAAAACACTTGGGTGTTCATCAGTGCAGATACCTTCTTTTTGTTGTTGTAGTTTGGCCGGGGCTGGGTTCAAACACCCCACCCTCGGTATATGGGGCCAGCGCCCTACTCACTGAGCCATAGGCACCACCCCATCAGTGTAGATACTTTCAAATTTATTTCAAATTGAATTCATCCTTTTTCCTGCCTTACATTTGAAAGAGATGTGAGGATGTGTGGAGGTTATTTCCTTAGTACATTCTGAGCAGCCTGACTGTAGGAGCCCTTTGAGTTCTAGTCCCTGCGTCCCTCCCGCTCTGTCCTCCTCAGCTCCTGGGCTGTTCCTTGGGGCATGTCCTGCTCTGCTTAGTGCCGGGTGTCCTGCTCTTAATTCCTGCCTTAACAGTGTCTTGGGACAGAAGCACCTTTGACCATCTCCATAGTTGCTCCAGTGGGATTTGACAAAACAGAAATCTTCAATGACTTTTTAAATGTCCTGATAAACTAGAAATAAGAAAGCTCTTCTTAGCCTCACTGCATCTAACATAGAAATTTCTGCCTCTAACTCAGTGGTGAGGCATTAGAGAAACTGCCATTAAAAGTGAAAATGAGGAAAATAATATTTGCTATCAGAATTATTAACGTTTCCCCAGCCAGTCTACCAAATACAGTAAGATAAGAAAAGTTGCAAATGTTTAAAAAGTGATAACTTTATAATTGTTTAAGATTATGTGATTATTTTTCTCAGACGTTTAATAAATTTACCAAGAAATTATATTGACAAAACTTTACTAAGAAAATGAAAGATGATTTGAACAAACAGAATGAAGGGAGTTTCCCTGGATGGAAAGACTCACTCAGGCACAGATACACACTGTCATTTCATTATTCAGTGCAGTTAATACAATGCTAATCAAAATCAAAACAGGTTTTACTGACATCATTATTTTCAAGTTTATCTGGAAGAATAAATGCATGGAAATATCCAAAAAATAAAAGAGCTATAATTATGGGGAACTTGCCATATTGATATAAAACAAATTATAAAGGCCAAGTAACTAAAACAGAATAATAATGGAAAAAGAATAGAAAAATAACACCAGCAACAAAAATAACAAGTAACATTTATTGGACAAATATTCTGTGCCAGAAACTAAGCAAAATACTTTATGTAAATCCAAGCGTCTGATTCTCTCAGCTCATAAAGATCAAACCATTTGACCACGTTGGCAGTTAATAGAGTTGTAGAGCTGAGATCCAAGCCCCGGCCGTCTGACTTTGGAATAGTGAGCTAAGAAACTGAGGCAGTTGCAAACTGAACCTCACTGACGTGCTGATGACTTTTCAGAGCACTGGGGAAGGGTGAACAATATTGGGACAACTGACTCACCATTTGGCAAAGTCAAATAGATCTGCCCTAATTATACACACTAAATGTCACTTAAATATTTTCATGAAAAAACATTAAGCCACAGATTAACAGAAGAAATTGTTTGAATATTTAATAATCAAATTAAATATTTAATATTTAAGGTGGAGATTAATTTTATAAGCTTATCACTCCAGACTGACAGCATGAAAAGAATAAGCTGATATATTTAACTACATAAAACTCAAATGGAAAAAGAAACATAAATAAAACTAAAGTTATATGATAAACTGAGAAAAATATTTGCAACATATGTGGGTGTTTTTGTTTTTGTTTTTTTTTTTGCAGTTTTCAGCCAGGGCTGGATTTGAACCCGCCACCTCTGGTATATGGGCTGGCACCCTACTCCTTTGAGCCACAGGCACCACCCTGTGAATATTTTTTATATGTAAAAAGTTCTTAAAAAATTATAAGAAAAATCAGAAAACACCAATAGGAAAGCAAAGAACATGACCAGGAATTTAATAAAAGGAATTTTTATGGAAATCACTAGCAAAGAAATTTAAATATAAAGTAACGTTGCTGTATCTCTTTTCACCTATTAAACTCATAAAATTTTTCAATTATGAAAACTGGAATTGGTGTGCACGTGGAGAAAAGGAGAAAAGTCACAATTATTCATTGCTGCTGGGTATAAAAATTAGCATGACATTTTTTAAAGAACATGGATGCAGTAAATATCAAAAGTTTCAATGTGTGTACCCTTTGACTCCCAAATGCTATTTAGGGAATGTCTACTAAAGAAATAATAATAAGACAAGTCATCCTAGACCAGAGGTCATCGCAGTGCCTTCAGAAAGGACCCATCAGTAAATATTTTAGGCTTTGGCATACACATTCTCTGCCACAACCAGTCAACTCTGCAGTTGAGGTGGGAGCAGCCAGAGAGGATGCACAGGTGACTGGGTGTGGTCGTGGGTTCCAGTAACACTTCATCTCAGAGGAGGGCAGCCGGACAGATGCTGTTCCTGCACTGGAGTTTGCAACCCTGCCACAGATGATGGAAAGCGATTTGTGTCTGTCATTCCTGCAGGCATGTCCAACCTGGGGCCTACAGGTCATGTGCAGATTATGCTAGGGGTTTTTTTGCCTATCTGTGGTGTCAGATATCATGAAAATTATGCACACAATTTTTTTTGATTATCCGCTTTCATTGGTGTTTGTGTATTTAACGTGTGGCCCAAGACACCTCTTACTCTCCCAACATAGCACAGAGAAGTCAAACGGTTGGACACCTTGGTAGCATTGACAAAGAAGAAAACGATCCAATGCTTTAATACAGAACTAGGTGAGCACCATACAGGGCTGTGCGGCTGTGAGCAGCAAGCTGCAGGTCAGCATTTCAGGACCCGCTGACCCACGGCCCCTCCCTGCCCTGTGCTCCCCATGGGAGCCTGGCACAGGGCCCTTCCCTCCACTTGTGCATCAGAAGCCAGCCTCAGCCCCCCAACCTGGCCGCCACTGCCCTCCTGAGCACTTCTGCCTCCTCCACCGAGCTCCGTGAACACTAAATAGCCACCCTACTTGTTGGCAGTTCATCAAGCCCTGCCTTGAGTGATTGTCATTTCAGTTTTTTGCATGTGTAGGTGTTGTCCCTCAGGCTAAATCACCAGGCACAAGCTGTGTCTTGAAAAGCTCATGGCAAACTGCCAAACACGTTCTGTGTCCATTTAGAAAGGCAGCAATTACAGGATTAAGGATGTTGGTGGAATGTCTAAATTGTCCATGAGAAACATTAAAAAGTAGAGCTATTTCTAGTCAAACTAGAAACAAAAGAAAATTGAGGGTACCTGGCAAATACATGAAAGTAAACCAAAGGGAACCCTGAAGCGGCTTAACTCCAAAAGGCAGAGGATGGAAGAGTCAGAACAGCACAGCAGGCAAAGTTCCCGATCGGTCACACCACCCAGCAGAGCTGCGACCTGAGACAGCTGCTCCCCTCTCCCCTGCGGCACAGAGATCCTGGCAGGGCCCTCCTCCCTGGGCTGACACAGTAACTAGATGAGACCACAGGTGCGACATCCTTAGAACAGAGCTCAGCACGTTGAAATCTTTCATAAAATCTTAGCATTTGGTACCGATGTTAGCAATAGCATTAGTGCTAGTAGTACCAGCAGCCGGAGCAGCGATGGTGTGACAAGATAGTAGATTGACCACCATCATTATGACAAGGTAATGAATGGTTAAATTCATATTTACAAAACAAAAATAATGTGAATACTTTTTATTTAATGAGCATAGCATTGATACAACCCCCCCAAAACATTGAACATAGTAAGAACCCACAGATCTGTCTTCCTTATGAGCATGAACACAAAAATTTAAACTAAAACATTAGCACACGACAACCAGTAACACATTAAGTAAGCAAAATGCCGCAGTCAAGGAGCGGTCGTCCAGGGATGCAGGAACAGTCTGCGTTCAGGGTGCCCATGTACAAAACGCCGCAGTCAAGGAGCGGTCGTCCAGGGATGCGGGAACAGTCTGCATTCAGGGTACCCGGGCAGACACTGCATCATATAACGAGATCCCAGAGAAAAACCCTAAACTCATACCTGTAGATCCCACAGGGCATTTTACAAATTTGTCATCCATTCTTGATGTTTAAAAATTAATTTCGGCAAAATTGGAATATATGGATACTTGTCAAACATGACAAAATATTTCTTAGTTCAAAACCCAAAGTCACGCTTAATTAAAGTCGCTTGAAACATTTCCACTAATGGAAAGAAAAATACAAGAAAGTCCACTGTCCCCACTATTATTCACATTGCTGCATAGGAATTCCTGAGCACTATTAGGCAAGAGAAATAACATAGAAATACAGAAAGGGGGGTGGAAGAGACAAATGGTCCCTTTTTCCAGACATGTTCTATTCTTAGAAAAACAAAAAATACACTGAAAAACTAAATAATATGAGAAGATGGGGGAATTACAAAATTAGTATACAGAAAGCAATAGCTGCTGTACATACAAACTAGATAGAAAATATTGTAAGAGTTTATTTACAACGGCAGCAACACGAAGGGAAAAGGCCCAGGAATAAACTTAATAATAAATGTGTGTTCTGTGTGAAGAAAAATTCAAAATGCTTCCAAACAATGCAAACGCAGAAATGGAGAAGGGACCCTGTTCAGAGGGAGGAGTGCTCAAAACCGTAAACACTCAGCTCTCCCAAACGCCATCTATAAATAGAATATGATCCCCATAAAAATACTGACAGCATTAAGTTGGGGGCAGGGGAGGGGAGACAGGAAAGGGTAACCACCCCAAACTTAAAGTAGAAAGCAAATAATCAAGAATAACCAGTAGAATTCTGAAAATGAAGCGCAGGGAGGAGGGACTCTGCCTGCCAGGTATGAAAACTTATTGCTAAGAGCCCTTTTGTCCAGACAAATGGTTGAAAAGACACATCAGTAGTAAAGATAGAGCATCAAGTAACCTGTGGAGATTCATGTGGAAATTCAGTATATCATGAAG